CCTGCATGCCATAGGGCTGGTAGCCCATGGACACCGACTGGCTGCCCATGTAGCCCATGGTGCCCGACTGCGGGGCCTGTGAGACCGCGTTCTGCAGAGGGAGGGCGGGTGAGCAGGCACAGCTGGAAACCCCTTGCGGCTGTGCCCCCCACGATGCCCCCCTAGCCAGGGGCCTCCCCGCGCCCTGCCCCCCCAGCACACGGCCCAGGTGCTGCGAGACATTCCCCCCCAGCGAGTGAGACCGCTCGCGACAGACACTGCCGCCCCCTTCCCGGCCGCAGCTTGGGGCCGCACTTGCCTGGTAGCCCTGCGTGGGAGTGGGCTGGTAGGAGGAGTAGGCGGGGGTTGTGGTGGGCACTGCCTGTCCCTGCTGCGTGGCCTGCCCGCCTCCCGTGCCGGCCTGGTACAGGTAGGCACTCACCATGCCGGGATCTAGAGCGGACAGACGGCACCAGTTGAGGGGAGGGCCCAGCTCAGCTCCACCCTGCCCCACTCAGCCCCTGCTCGTTACCTGTCCCTGCGACAGGCATCGCAGTGTAGGGCCCGGTGCCCCCCTGGTTCATGTACACACTGTGCATGGGGGAGCCCTCCACGGAGCCTGCTGGGCTGAAGGTGCCAGGGAAGCTGGTGGGGCCAGAGGGCTGGTAGATCACCCCTCCCGCAGGCGGCATAGCCTGGAGCTGCACGAAGAAAGGGAGAGGCTTCAAGGGTGGGCCCAGGGGACAGGCCGAGGGATGCCAGGAGGGGGCTTCTGGATGCAAGGGCTGTACCTGGGCATAGGGCAGGGAGAAGGCTGGCATCTGGGCCCGCATCTGGATCGTCTGCTTCTGCTGCTCCAGGCGCATCTGCCGCTCCTTCTCCTGCTCCTGCAGCCGCTGGATGGCCAGCTGCCGCTGCATCTCCAGGTACTCCTGCAAGGCAGCACCGCCACAGCCATCAGGCATGGGCACCAGGCCCTCCGTTTGCCCTGCCACCATGGCTCCTAGCCACCCAGCCATGGGCACCTGCCAGCCCGTCTCCCCAAGGACAGTGCAGCCAGGTTTGCTAGAGCATGAGCAGCTGACAGCCCTCAGCCACAGGCGGGTCCCGGGAGCTCCAGAGCAGCCTCCCTGCCTCACCTGCTTCTTCTGTCTCATGATCTCCAGCTTCTGGGCCAGCTGGATCTGGCGCTGGCGCTCTGCCTCCTCAGCCGCCCGACGCAGCTTCTCGCGGTGCTCCTCACGCAGCGCGTTCAGGGCCCCACGGGCATCCCGGATCTGTGCCAGCTTGTCCTGCAGGCCCTCGTAGTACACTGGGGAGGCAGACACGGCATCAGGCCCTTCCCAGGGCCAGCTCCCTGCCAGGCATGCCTGGTACCTGAGCACCGTGAGCCCCAATGCATCTCGCAGGCAGAGCAGGCCTGCCCGTGGTCCCTATGCTCCCCACTCTTCCCTGGGGCCCTGGCACCTACGCCTGCGCTCATCCAGCTGGTTGAGCAGCTCCAGAAGCTGTGGGTGCATGTTGTTGATGGACTGGAAGAGGGAGAGCACGGCCGAGTCATTGGTGATGCTGCGGCCTCGCATGTGGTTGCTTTTCATGCGATTGACAAAGGTAGTGACGGCGTTCTGCAGCGCCTTCAGGAACTGCTCGTGGTTCTCCTCTGACTCCCCATTCTGGTACTGCTGCTGGAGACACAGGGTGGCACCATGAGGTCTGGCCCTGCCCGCTGCACAGGGCTGGGACCCACCACCCAGGCCCAGGAGGGAGCAGGCCAGGCTGACAGCTGTGGCTTGCGAGAGGCACTGGATCCACAGGCCTAGCAGGGCTGCCGTGGGCCAGGCCCTTCTCCTACCTCCACTAGGCTGAGTGGGGCAGTGTGGACTTCTCCAGGCTGGCTGCTCAGCTCCGTGAGGGACAGCGGCGCAGATGGGGTGGGGCTCTTGCGGGCCTCCTCCTGCTTTTTCTCCCAGTAGTTGCGGTTTAGGTACCGAGCCAGCTGCCAGGGAAGGAGGGAGGAAAGCTCAGCACCACAGGCCTGGTGCAAGCTGGTCTCCGCTGCGAGTTTGGGGGGGGGGGGGGGGGGGGGGGGGGGGGGGGGGGGTACAGGCGAGGGGTGGAAATGAGACAGGACAGGACAGTGTGCTTACCTCGGGGTCAATGTCCTCAGCCAACGGAGCAGAGGAGTTCTGGGATAGAGAGAGGAAGGGGTCAGGTCTCCGAGGCACTTGAACAATCCACAATCCCTGCATGGCTGAGCCCTAGAGCTGGGCTGGCCAGCCAGATAACATAGCCAGGGCTCACGGCAGTGATTTCCCTCCCACCCGGCAGCAGCAAGGGCAGCACTCAGGCTCTGCTTTCTGGGGCTGGTCTCCCAGGTGCCACCTACAGCTTCCTGAACAGAGCCAGGCTCCACTCGTCTCAGAGCAGTGATTAATCTTGGTCACCAAGACCAGGCAGGACAGACCTGGGCCTGGGGAACTCATCTGGCAGATCCCCACTGCACTGTATGCCAGGGCAGGCAGGCAGGCACTCACCACAGGGGAGGAGTAGAGGGTGCTGACTGGGGGGGCTGACGAGGTGATCGGCGTGGGCTCCGCCTTCGGGTAAATGGAGTAGGTGGTTTTCTGCCTCTGTGGAGGAAGGTGCAGATGAGGACCAAGGGACTGTCTGGCTCCTCTGCCCGCTCAGGGCAGAGAGAAGCCCGGGGGTGAGGCACCGCACAGGGGCCAGGCCCATGTGCTGCACCTGGGGATTGGGGGGGGGAAAAACAGGACAGGGACATCTCCTGCACTGCGTCCAAGGTGGGCTCTGCAAGCTCCCAGCAGGATCAGAGCCAGCTCCAGCATAAGGGGCAGGGCCTGGCCATTGCTGTCCTGGTGAAGAAGACTTGGCTGCTACCCAAGCCCAGGCAGCCTGACCTGTGGCACGACACATCCCCTGCCCCACTCCCACCCTGCCCAGGATGGAGTCATTCCTG